TTCCGCTTGGTCTTAACCACATAAACCCATAACAATAATGCTACTCACATACAAAACCCAACCGCTATCCCCCATCCCTTCCCAGCCGTGATTGTACATCCCTTTATTTCACCCAATTTTGACTTTTATGTAGTAGTCGTACACCATGACATCCTCTACGCATTAACCGCTTGCTCATCTCGCTTTTGACCCCGACCCCGACCCCGAACCCCCCTCCACATGCGGCCTCTTCGCCTCCCTCTGCGCAGCATCCCCACCTCCCTCAATCGGCCTCTTCCTCTCCCCCTTTTCCTTTTCCCCCTTGGCCGTGGCAACCCCCTTCTTCTCCCTCTCCTTCCTATCCTTCTCCTCCCGTTCCTTCTTCTCCTTCTCCCTCCTCAACGCCTTGCTCTCGAATTCATGCCAATCACCCTGGACATCTCTCAGCCTGTTTCAAATAATTAGCAACCAACCTCCCATCACAAAAAAAAAACGCTGCAAATGGGGGGGACATACTCAACCGCCTGCCTAGCCTCTGGCTCCTCCTCAGTAAAATACCCATGCCTCAACACCTCCCCCGCGCTCGGCCTCTTCTTCGGATCATACCTAAACATGCTCCTCAACAGCTCATACGCCATCGGCGTCACAACCCCCTTGTACCTCTCCTCAAACTGGCTCGCCATCCTCACCGTCGGCCTCAGCAGCTCAAACCACGGCATCTCCACAATATCCGGCCACTCCGACCTCGTCGGCGTCCCCAGCACAGAGTGTATCTTGTCCAGCTGATTAATCTCACTCCCATCCCCAGGAAAAATCGCCCTCTTGGTAAAAATCTCCACCAGCACGCACGCCGCAGACCAGATATCCACCGCGGGACCATACTGCGTCTCCCCCAGCAACAGCTCCGGGGACCGGTACCAAATGGTGATGACACGGTTGGTGTAGTCGAGCTGGTGGTGCTTGGCATAGAACCGCGCCAGTCCAAAGTCGGCCAGCTTCAAGACGCCCTCGTTAGAAACCAAGATGTTCGCCGCTTTGATGTCCCTGTGCAGGACCCCCCTCGTGTGCAGGTAATCCAACCCCTCAAACAGCTGTCTGGCCAGGTGCTTCTTGTGAGCCGGCTCCAGGGTGTAGTTGGGGTGGTTCAGCAGACCCGTCAGGTCGTGCGAGAGGTACTCAAACACCATGAAGCACTCGTTCGACTCGACCATGACTTCTTGCAGCTCAACCACATTGGTGTGCTTGAGCGAGCGGAGAAGTTTGATTTCTCGCACTGCCGTGACGGGAAAACCGTCGCGTTCACCCTCCATACGGATCCGCTTGAGCGCCACGAGCTTCTTGGTGTAGACGTTTACCCCCTTAAACACCTTGCCGTATGTGCCCGACCCGACCACCGACTCGTTACCTGGTCTGCGGAAGAACACCGACTTGGACCGCGCCAGATCTTCTGGGAGCTTTGGCTTCTCCTTGAGACGCTTCATCATCTTCTTCACTTTGCGTGTCTTGGGCGTGGGATCTGGTTGCCTGCTAGGCAGGTCGTGAGGTCTGCGGTGGTCGTTCGGGCGAGAGCGGGCCGAGGCAGGCTCAGTGGGAGCATTTCTGGGATATCCGGATCTGTCCCTATCTCTATCCCGATCCCTATCTCGGTCCCTGTCCCTATCTCGGTCCCTGTCCCTATCTCGATCTCGATCCCTCTCCCTGTCCCTGTCCCTATCTCTATCCCGTTCTCGCTCTCTGTCTCGCTCGGGCTTCGTAGGGGGTGCTCTCTGAAGAGGATTGGAAGCAGCAGTTGGCTCTCGTGGGGCAGCAGGAGCGTTAAACTTGATCGATATCTCGGGCCGTGGAACTGCCACGACCGGCTTTGACGCAGTCTTCATGCTGAAGCTGAACTTGTTGGGTGTCTGGGACTGGGGCCCAGTCGGCGGAGCACGGCTTGCCGGAGGAGCCATCTTGTCATCTTTCGACTTGTCCTCCTTGCTTGCGTCTTCAACCTGCAATTCTTTAGATGGCCTGAAGGGGTTATCAGCATCCTGCATCAACACATCTTTCGCCTCTGACTTGTCATGAGCCTCTGGAGACTGATGATTGCTGGTGTGGGATGGATCCGAGGTCCGTCCATCGGGGTGGGATGAGTTCCATGCACTCTTGAAGCCACCGCGCGGTGCCCCACGGCCACCACCGAATGCACCACCCCGGAACCCCCCAGGTCCGCCTCTGTGCCCACCACGATATGAGCCCGCAGGATACTGAGATGCTGGGCCTGTGGGTGCGTATGGCGGAGTCTGTGTCTGATTGGAATGATAATGATTCTGAGGACCGGTAGGCGGCCCATAATTGTTGTGTGGATATGGCTGGGAATATTGGCTGTTGCCGTGTGAGTTAGCGAGCACTGCATTCTTGGGGCGCCGGACTGACCCTGGCGGTGAAAACTGCTGTGCACCATTCCATCCTCGTCCGCTTCCAGCATACGGTGACTGTGCTGGCGGAGAGCCGTGAAAGGATGATGCAGGTGTCCCTTGCCCCGAAGACTGGCCGTAGCCACCGCGGGGAGGATAGTTCTGTTGTTGGGGATTGAAACCGCCGCGGTAATTGCCCCTTGTTCCCATGCTGACCTCGATGCTGTTGGAACCAGACGATGGATCAAACTTGCCAGAGGTCTTGTTAGACTCGTCGGTGGGGGCTTCGCTTTTAGTAGGGTTAGCTGCTCTCGAATCACGCGGAGAACCGGGGGGTAAGGCTCCGTGTGGCGTCCGAGTAGAGTTCAGATCGAAGCTGGGCTTGCGGTGCGACCCAGTATCAACAGAAGGGGGCCTCCTAGCACCCCGCGCAGCTGGACTACGAGGGCGCGATCTGGATCCCGACCGACGTCGGTGCTCTGCGCGGGGAGATCGCTGACGGGACCTGCTACGTCGACGTGTTGATTGGGACGCAGCAGTTTCCGCTCCACGAGACCGGGATCTCCGCCGGCGAGACGCACTCGGTGACCTTGACCGTCCTGTCCGTTTGCTAGTCTTTGGCCGCCGATGGTCACGGCCTTCCGGAGACCTTGAACGACGGGCACGGGATGCTGGTGACGGATCACGACGTGCGGGCTTTGGTGGCAGAGATTTCGGCGCGTCCTTCTCTGCCCTTCCTGGGCTACGGTCCCGCCGGGACTTCTTCGGCTGCGACCCTCCAATGGATGATGGACTGGGGCTGCGCGGACGCTTCACGGATGCTGGGGAACGCGATGCACGCCGGCGAGAGCGAGAACCCTGACGATCGCGAGCGTCTTTCCTAGACCTGGAAGACCTTTCCCGTGAACGGTGGCGGTCCGCCGGTGGATGGCGATCGCGGGAGCGGGCTGGTTCGCGGTCACGGCCACGATCACGGTCACGCTCGCGGGAACGGTCTCGACGGCTATGGGGCGAACGCTGAGATGGGCGAGAGGAACGACTGGGGCGGTAATCGGTGCTGCGGCTCCGGTCGCGACGGCGATGGGGATATTCAGACTTTGATGACTGCGGGGAACGGCCTCGGGGAGGGGGAGGTGGCGGCGGCGGTGGTGGTGGTGGAAGGTTCGGATTCGGCAATGGTGAGGGAGGATGGCGGTGCTGGTGCTGGTGTTGCTGGTGTTGCTGTTTCCTGTCTCGCTCTCTTTCTCTATCTCGTTCGCGAGCAGGTGCAGAGGACCGATTCACGGCAGCGGCGGCGGCGGGTTCGGACGGTCTGCGTGAAGTAGTCATGCCGAGATCATGCTCAACCCGAGGGTGGATTTGTTGGCGTTCGAGAGGACGGTGGCTGCCATTGGGCGGTGGACCAAAGTTTCGACGCCGACGCTGTGCTGAGGACTGCTGGTGCTTGTGCTGGTGCTGGTGCTGGTGGTCCATCGCAGCACGAGACGGGATTCAATATTTGACTTTGGGTTAGTTGGGGTGACTTCAGTTGGTCAAGGCGGCCTTTCCATAGCCGAGAGACAGGGGTTGTCGCTGTGGGCCGGAGCTGTCAGCCCAGCCAGCGCCTACAGGTCCGCTGTAGACGCAGCACCGACAGCGACCTGGGAGAGCAGAGAGAGCAATTGCAAATCCAGCGTGGGAATCTGAAAAACGTCTGTCCCGTCCGTCCTCTGCCTGGCTGTGTGCGCTCCCAGCCAATCCCATCAAAGAAACCACAGCCTCGCCTTGCCCAAACTCGGCGACTCTGGCAGAACAACCTCAGATGCTGATAACCTGGAAGCAAGCCCGCATCTGCCGAGAGCCTGCAGCTGATAAGATGCAGGGTGCCTTTTTTTGCAAATTGCTGTTAGTTTTGGCTAGGATCGACCTGGGTGGTGGCTGAATGGCGATGCGTTAGAAATTGCAACAACCTCGAGCTCCTGTTCGGTGTTGAATTGAAATGCCCAAGGACTTGTGCGGTTGCGTTCGAGGTTGAGGTGAGGGGCAGCTCTCGCCATGGACCTCCTACACCATCGTGGAAGTTCTCCAAAACTGAGAGATCAGATCGCTGTCCGTGTCATCGGGCCCGTCCTCCCAGACACCAGGAGTTGGACCCCAAATACTCCCTGCGACTCCTCTTGCCTTCGAAGAGGATCATCGCCAGACCAGGCGAGCTCTTCCTGTCAAGCGTTGTGTTCAGCACCACCAGAATGGGCATTTACAAAGAAGGCATCGAGGCTCTTCTTGAGCCCACTCAGAACCTGTCATCCCTGCCCACCGACCCTGGCCCCAGCTTGAAAAACAGCCCCAGGCAGCATCTAAATGCTGAGGCTGTTGCTAACACTTGTTCATCAAGCTGCAACACCACGTAAACTATATACGGCAAGATAGATTTGCTTTACGATTTCCACCGTGCTCCCACACAAGTCGGTTTTCCCCCCTTGACCTCCGCCATCGTGATGGGCTAATTCTGGGCTTCTCTGAAGCTGTTAGTGTATGGGACTCTGTTCCTGGCGTAGCTTTTGCAAGACGGTGTTGTGCCATACGCCAAACGTACGGCAGCAACATCTGCGGAAGGAATGCAAAAGTTGATCATCAGAAAAGTCGGGGTGTCATGGCATCGCGCCCCGGCAGTTTCGAGACGACATCCTCCTGATCATACCGGAGTACAACCAAGAGAGCCTCATGTGCCTGGCACAATGCCTGGATAAAAACAGAAAACCCTTGGGATGGCTGACGTGGATTGGACCACGAGGCAAACTGCAAATACTCGCAAGACCGTGGGGCAATTGTCAAGCAGATATTCCAGCTCTTCCCAGAAGGTCGTTGGAGTGGCGTGGTGTTGTAGGTAGTTCATGTGCTGTAAAAAGGACGCGGTGCAAGCAGCCACAAATACTGTTGGCCATGAAGTGTATCAACCGTGGGGACCAAAGCAGTGATTGTAGGTCACTTTTGGCGTCATCCAGCCCACTTCAATTTGTGGCCAGGTCATCCCCCTGCTTCGATTGTCACATACAACCACCTTGGACGAAAATGGTGTAGCTGCTCGGCCTACGGCAAGGCGAGGATCCAGGAAGGGCGCTGGCTTGCTGGTGTGTTGTGTAATGATGCAGAAGCTGCTGGTCGGAGGTCGCAGACTGGGTGGGGGATGGAGGGTAGGGTCGAGCGGAATCCGACATGATAAGCGCTTAAACAGAGTTGAATCAAATCGGAGTATCAAATGTCGGCCATTATCATTCTTTCCCAGCCATGTTTCACCATGAGGCAAGTGAATCGGTGTCTGTCCCGCCCGCTATGTCGAATCCGTAGTGCTGGCAAGTTAGGTATTGATGATGTCCAAGCTGCCGGCTGGAAGAACAAAGCCCCGCACCGAGCTTGAATTGCGGGCTCTCCATGGTTCCGATCTCGCCGTCATGATAGATACGCGTACGGATAGGACAGAGTATTTCGAGATGCAAAAAGGCTTCGATAGAAGAAGGCGTAGTGTGCTTGAATCCGCGTTGAGAGTCGTCGCGGTTGGTGGTCGGAGAATGAAGTGCTTTGGGGAGTGGAATTGTTTGTGGAAGTTCAGCTCTGGCCAGCGCGCCAGCCAAGTTAGGCCGTTGCAGCGCACGGTCCACGTAACTAAACCCCGTGACCCCCCTTCCAGCTGACATGGCAGTAACCCTAACCCTATACCCGGAGCTGCACATCACCAAAGACAATGCTAAGATTTCACTTGGGCTTCAGTTCTGGAGAACTGTGGTTCCTTTGTAAGGTCATTGAATAAGATGGCTCCAGCCAAGCGTGGGATGCGCCCTTCTTCATCCTCAATATTTGGGTACAGTAAGGTATCGAGAATTGATCAACGGGCATGGACATCACATTTTCAAAGTCAAATAAATGAATGGGGTCTTGATGTTTTACTTCGTTCCAAATGATTAAGTATCAGAATTAGCTGTGTTGGGTCGCACTCTCTATACCGAGTGCCCCTATTGAGCAGAGGATCCAGCCTCGCTCCGTCTATGCTTTTGTTTATGCGCTTTTCGTTATACCACCTCCTCCTACAAATACACACCTTACAAAACCAAACGACGAGAACCTACATAAAACTATGCCCCGGTACATCCGGGTCAACAAGACCAAACCTAACAGTGAGGTAAGGCAGCGGCGCAAATTTGCAAAGCTGGGCGAGGTAAATCGTATGACTGCTCCCGTCGTCAACCATGACAACATCCTCATCAGTGTCATTCCCCTGCGCACCCTCCGCGTTGATGACAGGCTCCCAGGAGTGGGTAGAGAAGCCCCGGATATAAGCGAGAAAGTCCTCCATTCTGAAGCCAGGATAGTGGGTTAGGTGGTCGTGCAGGATCCATTGCTCGTAAATGAATGCCGCGTGCTGCTCCAGGAACTGTTCGATCTTGTCGGCGAGGGAATGTGGTGTGATGGACGGGTCCTGGAACCGGCCTTGGACGCAAAACAACTCGCAGTCGTGGATTTGGGCTCTGTGCTTGGTGATAAACTCGTCTGTGGACTTGTAGCCTCCGGTTGCGTGACACACGGTTGCGTAGCTTTGTGCTAGCAGACCTATCCGGATGCTATGGCACAGGAACATGCTGAGAACTTGGCTTTGACCCACGTGCTCTGCTCCGGCAATGAGCTGCCAGTATTGCTGACGCCGTTTCTTCCAGTGCCCGGTCTGGTTGTTGCTGTTATTCCAGTTTCCATTTTGGTTATTGTTGTTATTCCTGTTGCCATTCTGGCTCCCGGTGTTACTGTTGTTACCGTTCTGGTTGTTATTGCCCTTGCCATTCTGGTTATTGCCGTGGTTCCTGTTCCACTTGTTGTTCCACTTGCCATTACGCCCGCTGTTCTGCTTGTTGTTGTGATTATTATTATTAACGTTGTGGTGGTTGTTGCCGCGGTTGGAGTTGTTACCTTGGTGAGAGTTGCTGCCATGGTGGGAGCTGTTGCCTTGGTGAGAGTTGTTACCTTGGTGAGGATTGTTACCCCCCTGGTTGTTGCCACCTCCACCGTTCTTGTTTCTGTTGCGGTTCTTCCCCATGGTGATTAGTAGACGCGGCTCTATCAGAGAGACTTACCTGAGATACTTGGAAGAACCTGGCTCTGTTATAAACTCAAAAAGTGACGCTGGTAATGAAATGAATGAAAGTTGTTGAAGTTTGATGAATGGAAGATTGAATGGCAGACCAGATTACTTACTTCCCAGGGGCGGGCGGAAGTTTATATACGTTGTGACTCAGACGATGTCTTTGTTCCATTTGTTCGAGTTGAAAGAGGGCGCAGATACGGACATGCCAGTTTCCGAGTATACCTCTTTGTCTTCCACGGACACAATGCCATGTTCCTCTTGGAAGCTGGTCCTCCACGCTTCGACGTTGTGTCGAGGTGAAAATAGACTTTTCCTTCATGACAGTAGTCTCTCGATTGGTACATGGGTATGACTGTGAGACACAGCAGATCTCATGTCGAAAATAATCGGACATCGCCATCATTGTCAAATAAATGTGCCCGAGTTGAAGCCCATAGCAAAGCAAGTTTTACCACCACACAGCTCTGACTGCGTATATTGCCGTAACCATCATGACCAGTTTCATGACATGACGAGCAGTGCATTGTCAGAAGAAGACAACACGGTTACCGAGTTAGGAGCCGAGCACACAAAGATCTTGTTCACCAAGTCTTTGTGGTTGGAAGTCATCTGAAACTCCCTTGATGTTCTATTTTTAGAAGTCCCGTGAGGCTCAGTGTGTAGACGCCAACAGACCCAACTTTTGCCGCGCCTCTTCATCAGACACAAGAGGCAGTCTTCTGGATAGGATTCATCTTATCGTTGCTCGCCATAACGGCATGGCCCGATATCAAGGTGTTGGGAATTGATGAGTGCCCGCATTGAGGGATTTCTAGCAAACCATTCACATGCCGTCTCGTAGCCTGGAACGGACTTGGGCCATTGGCATTGAGTGACTGGATGCCTAACATAATTTGCGATGTTCAGGCATAGATGCCTGAGTGGGAAGAGGTGTTCGCGTCGAGATGTGTCGCTCGGGTTGAAGGGAGAATATATGTCGTTGATGTTCGTTGATAGTCAAAAGGCCAGCGAATAGGAGGCCAGGGCAATGACATGCCGTTTCATCGAGCCCCAGTTTCGTGTGGAACCTTGACGTGCTGATGCCCAGTGCGCAACACAGATCAAGGGCCCGCCGTCGTCATGATGACTAAGCCCGGCCGGGGGTCCGCGATCAACGGAATGACGCAAGAGATAGAGCTCCTCCAGCTGCTATCCATGTCTCTACCAGACAGAAGTGATAGACAATTGTAAAGACAAACATTTCATGATTTTATCCCCGAGCGGACTGGCTTGGCAACGGTGGCGGTTAGCAGAGTTCCTGTGCCAATAAGCGGGCGATGGATAGGTACGCAGTAGGGCTGCCCGGTGGTGGTGTGGTGTTTGGGCTTGGATGGAAGATTGAAGACTCGCATCGGGGGAGGGGCAGCTGAAGGGGAGTGCGAGACGGGTGGAATCGATGAATCATGGCGTTATCTCTAACAGACCAGCAAACGTTGGATCCCTTGTGTTGGGAAAAGCTCTCAGTCTCTCAAAAAAAAAAACCCAACGAAGGACCTAACGTTGATGGTCGAGAAGCGAGGGGGTTGGTCGGCAAAACTGCATATTACCGGCTTGTTCGACGCCAGAAGGTCTGCGATCCATCTCGATGCACCCGCAGCAGTCCAGTAAGGCAGCGAAGCAGCTCCCAAAGGTCCCCACCTGATGTTCCATCGCTGCAGGGCATCCACGCATCACCCCATTGGCATCCTGGAAGAGCTGCGTGAGCTGCTGCAGAAGAGGTTCTCTTGGGCTGGTACGGGCACCAAGTGCATCAGACTGCAGTAGCTGCGAGAAGCTCCCCGGTCCCTGCAAGAACCCAAGCGCCGCCGTCTTTCACCTCCATCCCCCTCGGTGCCTTTCCTAACAGCCCGGAGCACCACCAGGGCACTATAAACCAACTCAAACCCCAAGCTACTTGATACAAGCTTCCCCGCCCCTCTCACTCAACAACAAGACACTGCTTGTGCCCTGTGTCATCCAGTTGCCATTGTCCAACCAACAGCCCCAGCCTTGCCAGCCCACCAAGCCCAGCGCCATTCTGCGGCAGACGCCTCCCCCTTCCCGTCTCCCCGTGATCCTATTCTCGACTTCTTTCCAATTTCGGGAGATTCCAACGTGCTTTGCCGTTGCCCAGCCGCGCTTCGATTCCTGCGTTTCGCGACATTCGGATCCGACGTCACATTTCTTGTTGCTTGCGGTTCCCCTATAAGACAACTTCTGTGCCCGGCCGCCCTGAGCTGAGCTGACCCCAACCTCTCCCTTGGGTCTCGCGAGAACATTTTTTATTAGCATACATTTCCGGGGTGGGTTTTCGAACTATATTTCTTCCTCAAATACCCGTTATTCGTTATTTCGGTTTTTTCCTTGATTTTGTTGGGCCCAATAATCCACCGGCCGAACCGCATCTGCAACCCGTTTCCCCTCCCCCGCATCTTGGGTCTGACCTATTTCTTCGACCATTGCATCATCCATCAACGAACCTCTCAGCTCTTTGCCTTGTGCTGACTTGAAACCGCCAAAGTTACTTTCGAAGCCAAACGACACCTCTCAGATTTCCGAAATGGCAGACGACGGACGCGAACCTCGCGAGGTCAGGAACCACCTCCTCTTCGAGATTGCGACAGAAGTGGCGCATCGTGGTATGTTGGATATGTGCTCTCAAGCAATAACACTCTCGAACCTTCGCTGACCGGGGTGTTCGTTGCACAGTTGGTGGTATCTACTCTGTGATCAAGTCCAAGGCTCCAGTAACAACTGCTGAATATGGCGACCGTTACACGCTCATCGGACCCCTTAATCACCAGTCTGTGAGTTTCTCCTGCCCTGCATTAGCCCCCATTGGGGACCGTGACCATGCAGTTAACACCCCCCTTCAGGCGGCCGTCGAGGTCGAGGCGATCGAACCCACCAACCCCGAGCTTGCTGCGACGATTCAGTCCATGAGGGATCGTGGCATTGGTATTCTGTATGGTCGCTGGCTGATCGAGGGTGCGCCAAGAGTCCTTCTCTTTGACACGAAAACCGCATATCATTATCTGAACGAGTGGAAGACGGATCTGTGGAACGTGGCCTCTATCCCCTCCCCTGATAATGACGAGGAAACAAACGAGGCTGTTGTGTTTGGTTACCTTGTCGCATGGTTCCTTGGAGAGGTATTGTTCCGGGTCTTACAACCCGCCCAAAGCAACGGTTTCACTGACACCATGTTCTAGTTTGTGTGCCACGAAAAGAAGAAGGCTGTCATTGCCCACTTCCACGAGTGGCTCGCCGGTGTCGCCCTTCCTCTGTGCAAGAGGCGCCGTATTGATGTTACCACCATCTTCACCACCCACGCTACGCTTCTCGGTCGGTACCTCTGCGCCGGCTCGGTCGATTTCTACAACAACCTGCAATACTTTGACGTCGACGCCGAGGCTGGCAAGCGCGGTATCTACCATCGGTACTGCATCGAGCGGGCGTCGGCTCACTCCTGTGATGTCTTCACCACCGTCTCGCACATTACCGCGTACGAGAGCGAGCATCTCTTGAAGCGCAAGCCCGACGGAGTGCTGCCCAATGGTCTCAACGTCACCAAGTTCTCCGCCATGCATGAGTTCCAGAACCTTCACCAACAGTCCAAGGAGAAGATCCACGACTTTGTCCGCGGTCACTTCTATGGTCACTACGATTTCGATCCTGAAAACACTCTCTACTTCTTCACGGCTGGTCGCTACGAGTTCCGGAATAAGGGTGTAGACATGTTCATCGAGTCCCTCGCTCGTCTGAACCACCGCCTCAAGAGCTCTGGCAGCAAGACCACCGTCGTTGCCTTTATCATCATGCCCGCCCAGACCACCTCGCTGACTGTGGAGGCCCTCAAGGGCCAGGCCGTTATCAAGTCGCTCAGAGACACCGTGGACACGATTGAGCGCAACATTGGCAGACGCATTTTCGAACGCTCCCTCAAATGGCACGACGGAGAGCCGATGCCTGATGACAAGGAGATCCTCACCAGCCAGGACCGTGTCTTGCTTCGTCGCCGTCTCTTTGCCATGAAGAGGCACGGACTTCCCCCTATTGTCACGCACAACATGATCAACGACAGCGAGGATCCTATTCTGAACCAGATCCGTCGGGTACAGCTCTTCAACCACCCATCGGACCGCGTCAAGATCATCTTCCACCCAGAGTTCCTGAACTCTGCGAACCCGGTGCTCCCGCTTGACTACGACGACTTTGTGCGTGGCACACACTTGGGTGTCTTTGCGTCGTACTACGAGCCATGGGGCTACACGCCAGCCGAATGCACCGTGATGGGTGTGCCCAGCATAACAACCAACCTTTCCGGTTTTGGCTGCTACATGGAGGAGTTGATTGAGAATTCGAGCGATTATGGTATCTACATCGTCGACCGCCGTAACAAGGGTGTGGACGACTCGGTCAACCAGCTTACCTCGAGCATGTTTGACTTTACACAAAAGAGCCGTCGCCAGCGCATCAACCAGCGCAACCGGACGGAGCGTCTGAGCGACCTCCTTGACTGGAAGCGTATGGGCATGGAATATGTCAAGGCTCGCCAGCTCGCCCTCAGACGGGCCTACCCAACCTCGTTCAATGGTGACGAGGAGGAGGACTACATTCCTGGCCCCGAGCAAAAGATCTCGCGGCCATTCTCGGTGCCTGGCTCGCCCAGGGACAGGACCGGCATGATGACTCCTGGCGACTTTGCCAGTCTCCAGGAGGGTCGGGAGGGACTCAGCACTGAGGACTACGTCGCGTGGAAGCTTCCGTAAGTTTTACTTTGGTCTACTGCATTTTTTGCTTTGAAACCTTTGCTGACCTTGATACGACAGTGAGGAAGAGGACCCCGATGAGTACCCGTTCCCTCTCACCCTTCGAACCAAGCAACCCAGCGGAGCGGCGACGCCCCCTCACGTCAACGGCAACTAAGCAAGAGCCGGTCTTTTTCTTTGAGCGTGCTCGGTTAGTATAATTAGCAAGCATTGAGTCTAGCATATTCATGGGACGAAAAATGAGTTTCTGAAAAAAATTGGTGTTGGGTGGGTGTACGAGAAGGGAAATGGCTCATGGATGGAATGGATGGGAGGGGGGAGGCTTTTTTGAAATTATTGTATGTACCTAGTTAAGCACATTGTGTAGATTGTATGCGACATGCATATTGAAAGTGCCGGGATGTATTTGGGGTGTAATGTACTATGATTGATGAGATTTTTGTTTATGGTGTCTCAACAGGCTGTGAGGTTGATGTTGTGTTGTGTGAGGATGTAGGTCACGTTAAAGCGGCCAAGGCCTT